AAAGTAATACATGCTCGGAAAACAGTGGCCATTTTCTCTCTTCAGGGCAGTAGCTGTGTTCCTTGTTTGCAAGGAACTGTCTACAAAAGTTGATAAGGGGTGGTGGGTTTATATTTTCTTAATTAGCCATAGAGAAAACTTCTCAGGAAGTGAGGGATAAGGCAGAAATAAGTTACAGTATCTTTTCAAGAACCTGATATCATTTTCAACTGAGTTTAGGGGAAGGAAAAAAACAAAGAAAAAGGAAAAAATAATAGTAGACGGACAGAAGAACTCCGCCTGTACAAATCTAACGTGATTAGGGTGGAATCTGAGCATATGGCACGGAGGGGGCTCCGCTGCGCTGCCTCTGGGGCCGGGCCGTCGCCTCCTACTCGTGTCGCCCCGTCGGGCCGCCCGCGCTCACCGGGGACCACCCGCCGCCCCCGAGCAGCCCCGCTCCCGGGTCCTACCTGGGCCGGGGGCTCCCGCGGCGACTCCGCCGCAGGACCAGCAGCAGGGAGAGGCGCGGAGGCCAACGCCGCCTCAGCGCTCCGAAAATGCGACGGAGGATGAACCAGCCCAGAGCCCGGGCCCGGGGCAGGCTGCGGGCACGCCGAAAGTGGATGGTGCACCTTATTCGGGGAGTCATGGATGCGGGGAATCCGCTCTAGCTTCACATAACAAATACCTCCCCGGCGGGGCCTCACCGGTGAATCGGTCCTCTCACCCTCCATTCATTGGAGAGGATTTTCTTTCTTTCTTTTTTTTTCCTTTTTTTTTTTTTTTCTTTTTTTTTTTTTTTTTTTTTTTTTTTTCTCTCTTCCGTTTGCCTATTTTCGAGTCCCCATTTTGCTTTACCTCCCTCCCCTTCCCACCCCCCCTCCCCTACACCCCGCTCTTAAACTCCTCCCATGATGATGGCTCCCGCCTCGAAAGCGGGCGAAGGAAGACTGGCAGCGGGGGATGGGGACGGGGGAGACCGCCGGCTCGTCTCCCCTCCCACTGCCTGGCCCCGGGGAGCATCGCCACCAAACAGGCGTGGAGATAGGCCAATCGCAGGGCGCTCCCCTGCTTTCAAATAAAGCCTTGACGACATGTCCTTGCCCTCCCTCCGGTCTGTCCCTCCAAACAAACGGCCTCCCTCTCTGTTTGGGGATAGGTGGTATTTGTTTGGGGCTTTTTTCTTGCTGTTTGGTTGCTTTCGGATCCCGCTTGCCACGGAAAAAGCCCGACGGGGAAGGGGGTCTGCGGTGTCTCGGAGCGCCGGGACGGGGCCCCAGGGACCGGCTAGCGGATCCCTGCCGCTTTAAATACGCGGGCCAGTATTGGCCCAGGCGAGCAGCTATTTCCTTGTCACATGGCCATTTGAACGCGACGCGGGACCATTGCGTAGCGGAGCAGGGGAAAAAAAAAAAAAAAAAAAGAAAAGGACGATTTCGGTTTCCCCCCATCGCTCAACGAAACGGGTAATGAACGGTTCCCCGCCAGCCCCTAGACCTTCTTCCCGGCCGTGCTCAGCGGGGTCGGACCGTTTTGCTTTCCTATTGAAGGGCGAAGTTCTGCAGCGAGGCGTGGGAGCAGCAGGGGGGTCGCTCAGAAGCCCCGATTAACCTGCCGGAGCTCCCTTCCCGAGCCAGCTCCCAGGAGCCACCGGAGGCTGCCGAGCCCTCCGACAACCGGTGCCGAGCCAGTTCCGCCGCCCGGCAGAGGATTTCTGGGGGTTACCGCTACCCACCTGACTCGCCCCCCACCCTGTGAGTCCATCTGCCTGAGCATCCCCCCTCCCCCGTGCGGGGTACCTCCGTGCGAGGCGTGGGGAGCTGTGATGGGCAAAGGAGAGCGTCATTCCTGTTGGCGCGTCTTCGCCCTCCCCGGGGGTGGCCAGGCCCGGTTCTGCTGGACACGGCTAGAGGAGGCTCTGGACTGCTCCTGGACTGAGGGGAGACGCGGGAAGGCGCCGGGAGGGGAGGCAGAGCGGCAGTCCCTGGGAGGGATGGTGAACATAGGCGTATGCAATACGCATCCCTTCCCCCCCCCCCCCCCCCCCCCCCCCCCCCCCCCCCCCCCCCCCCCCCAACACCTCCTGCTCTCTGCTGGACAAACAGTAATAACTGATGTCAACAGAAGTTTCCTTCTGCCTCGGCACGGAGTAACCCTAACAACACTGCTAATAAAGAAGAGCCGGTAATGGTTTCTTCTGAACCGAGTTCGATTTCAAGCCTGGGAAATGGGTGAGTGAAATCAGCCATTTCGAAATGAAAGCACGTCTTCGAGAGACACTTTATTCTTTTCTTTCTTCTTCTTTTCCCCTCACCTCCCCCCCCCCCCCGCTACGTCCCGCACTTCTCTCTGCTGTGGCTACTACTCCCCGACAGGCAAGGCAAAATTGAGAGAAATGAATGCCTGCCTGGCTGCGGGATGCAGGTGCCAGAGCGGCGGTGAGAGGATGAATCTACAGTTTTGACAATAGAAACCAAATACCCACCAACGCTGAATGCATGGCCGATCAGGGGCCGAGGAGCACCTCGTCGTGCACAGGTTGCAAACCGTGCTGAGGAGGGGTGTGGGTGTGTGTACGCGCACATGTACTCTGTTACAGGAGAGGTATTAAAAATAAAAAATGCAAGTAATTTGCTACGTTAAACGTAGTGCTTTGAGGGCTTTCTCGGTATGTGTATTGCTGCTGCTACTTGCTGTTAACAGCTACTATTCTTTCCCGAGATGAAAAGCCCTGGGGCCGGCGCTGCTGCCAGAAGGAAAGGTGCCTGTGGAAGCTCTCGCAGCCGAGCGGGATCACGCCGGGGACTCCCATCCTTTCAAGGAGTGAGTATCCCCCACTGTGGGCCTCTACCGGGCAGGGCCTCCAGACCTACGGCATGAAATAGATTTATATCAGTTAGGTATTTACCCTGCTGGCTTTTGAGGGCATTCTCTGCTCATTTGGTGCAGTCAGCCTAGCAAATTCAGTTATTTTCCTGCCAACTTAATGAACAATATTAGTAAGAACAATAATATAATATTACTATTTTGTTGCTGTTGCTGTATTTTCATAAGCCATAATGGGAATACAAAAAAAATTAAATGAAGTCTGGTTCCTGGAGAAAAAGACCATTTAAAACAGAAATACTGGTCTAATTGAGGTTGGAAGTGCAGTTTTATAGAATCTTTTCTATAGAGGGTGGTCAGGCTCTAGACTTGTCCCATCCCTGTGTCTGGTCCCAGCTCCACTCTGGTTCCCACAGATATGGGATGCAGGCACCTAACTGCTGCATCCCCAGTGTTGTGCTTGGTTTGCTTATAACTATGACATGCTCGAAGGTAGAATACAGAAAAATCTAGTAAGGTGTTATAATTGCATACTGAAATGCTATATTTTTTCTGTATAAAGATATGTATAAAATATATGTTCTAGGCATTCTTATAATAAACAAGTGTTTATAATGTATTATAAGAATTATTTTATATATTACAAATATAATGTAATTTTTGGTATACATTTTACATGCATATAATTTTTTGTAATTAAACATAAGCATATTACATATAAAATAGTTGATAAGCTAATACATAAGGTTGATACATGATCATAACATTCTTAATATATGTGCATATCATGTATATTTTATATGGGTATTTTATAGATGTATTTTGTACATAAATGGTAAAACTAAATTTTTTAGAGTGTACAAACTTATTTGATGTAATTATGAAGCATGCATTGTATGAATTTACATTGCAATAAATAACATATTCCAACACGCTTTTAAAAAGTATACACATTTTTTATTGCTTATGAAATATCTAGGAGTTGGACAATCAATAAGAATGCAAAACGAAAATAAATTTTTCCTTCCTTTAATTCTCTACGGGTAGATCTGCAAAGTGCCCAGGATTTGCGCTAGGGAATGACATCTGAGCTCTCCCGCTGCCTTGCCTTGTTTACTTTTCTCTGACCCTAAGGCGCAGGATGCGCGGTTGCAGCCCGGCTTGGGGTCCGGGGAGGGAGGCAAGGTCTCCCACTCATCCAGCACAGGCTGGAAGCACGGTCCCCATCGCCTGCCTCACCACCCCGCTCTTTGCTGCCCGTGCTCTCCTACAGCACCCCTGATGGTTCAGGACCCTCCACGGTGGCAGAGGGTCTCCCCAGCCTTTGGCTTCCCCTCAGTAGAGGATGGGCTGCCGTGTGCATTTTCTGTGGGGTGCTCACAACCAACTCCCCCGTACTGGGGCAGTCAGTGAAACGGATAGACTCTCAGATGGTTTGTCTGCTCCCTTTCCTAATCCAGCAGCACAGTTGTTGCAACGACTTGCTTTTTTCGTTAAAAAAAAAAAAAAAAGTGACACCTTCAAGCAGCTTGGTAAGCCCTGGAATTAAGTTCGGATTTACGATTTCTAATTTTTCGTTCCTGGTCGCCTTGGTTTTGCAATTAACATGATTTTTTTTCAAGGTACTATAACTCAGGGGAGGTCGCTTGCAGGTCGTTAAAACGAGTACTTCAAGTGGGGACTGTAGAGGGCTTGCAGAGACACAAAGCTCACTTCATTTTCTCCTTCCAGAACCCATGTTTGCAACCTTCATGAGAAGAGCCACGGATGCGCCAAAGATGCATGTACAGACACGCACAGCATCCTACGTGGTTCTAAGAATGTATTTGCCAAGGCTACAATCGCACCAGGAAGCACCGATTCCCTGCCCTCCGGCCAGTTTTGCTAGAGAGACAGGCAGCGCCCCTTGAGTTCCGTGAAACCGAAATCGGACAGGGAGAGCTCGGATCCTCTCCTGTCCTCTTCAGAGGGAGGGCTGGCAAGTATGAGTGTGGACCCCCGGGGACGAGGGTAAACAGAAAGCCCAGATGTAGTGCAGTCAAAACATGAAGGGTTTGTGTAGTACCACCTCTGTGTGTGGGTTTTCCTTCATATTTAATATTTTCACATTAAATATTTCCTATTTAATATTTCCTATTTACTATTAATATTTTCACATTTAATATTTTCTTATTTCATACTTCATATTTCTCTTCATAATATTTGACCTCTCGCGGGAAAATAGGGGACTGTGGAGGGCCATAGTATTTTCAGTGCAAGATACACAGGAATGAGCAAAGAATATTGCCCTTCGTGCATCCCAGCGACCCGGGGGTTATTCACAGTATGGCATGAGTGCTGCTCGACTTGGCGTTTTCCGAGGCGGGCGCGAGCCGTAAGTTTGGAGAGGGGATTGCCTCGGGAGAGGTCAGGCGCGGGGCGGCGGGTGGCGCAGGTAGCGGCCCACGGCTCCGTGCGGGCCCCCCGCCGCCACGTCGAGGGGGAGGTGGCCGCGGCCGTCGGGCAGGTCGAGGCGCGCCCCTGCCCGGTGCAGCGCCACCAGCGTCTCCAGAAAGCCGGCGCGGACCGCGTCGTGCACCGGGAGGCAGCCGGTGCTCGGGTCGGGCCGGTTGGGGTCGGCTCCGCGCTGCAGCAGCAGCTCGGCCACACGCGTGCTGCCCAGCATCATCACCTGCGGGGAGACACAGCGTCAGCGCCTGTCCGCAGCCCCCAGGCTTTCTTGCTCGGCCCCGAAGGAACGATGGTCCTCCGTGGAAAGAAGAAAATCTGCGGCCGAGCCTTAGAGATCGGCTCCGGAGGCGCCACGAATGGTGGAGAGAATGGACCTGTCGGTAGGGTTGCATCGCCGGGAGGAACCCTGCTTATCCGTGCCACGGGACAGGAAGGAACAGGTGGGTCTGAGAGGTGCGGGACCTTCATCGGGGTCAGGGTGTGCAGGTCCACACCAGGGCTGTTCCGCGACAGGAGGCGGCAGGGGGGCAGTCGGCTCGGGGCAGACAGAGTGGGGGAAGAGGATCGCCCTTCTCGCAGCGGACCCACGCAGGAACCCGGGGCGAGTCCCGCGTCGCTTTGCAACGGCCACCGCGGAACCGTGCCGGTGGAGTGGCTCCCGGGGACGGCCGTCGTCCTGGTCCCGTCTGTGACACGTCTCCAGACAGTCCTTGCCAAGGCGAGACGTATATGCAGGGAACCCTCGTTATCTGCGGCGCCGCGACAGCGCTTCTCTCACCCTCGGGAGAATCTCAAAACCCACCTTTTGTCTGACCCCCGTGTCCAGGGCAGTACCAAAGTTCCCTGCAGCCCACCCCTTCGGGCTCGCCGTTTTCTAAGTTGGGTTTCTCCCAGCGCACCCGGCAGTGGGTTCAGGACAGGGGCTAAATCCCTGCCGCGCAAAGGTTAAAAAAAAAAAAAAAAAAAAAGCACCGGAGGACGGCAACAGATACCTGTTTTGAGTGAAAGGCTGAACCGACATTTTGTGGGAGAGAGTTTCGTAAGCACTACCAAGTAAAACCTAAATAAAGCTTTTCAGATTATTCCAGTTTCGTTTTATTTTGTAAAATGTAAGAAAAAGATGTCTAGAACTACCTCGGAAATAACCTCAGCTTTTTAAAATTTAAAATCTACTACACTTTCGGGCACTACGTTTACCTACACGTTCACGAGACTGTAAAATGGGCATACTGAGCCCCACAGGGACTGCTCACTATCTACCTACAGCGTCTGCCGGGCAAGGCTATCTCAGCCAGGTGTTTCTGTTCATGAGAGTCAATGCATATACGTTCTTTTTTTTTTTTTTTCCCTCCATGGGAAAGATGAGGAAAAAATAGTAACAGGCAAATAAAGCAGAAGACGACCTATGACTAAAAGGTGATTATTTCTGCAAACGCTATTTGTTACATTTTATTGCACGTTTATTGCGATATGAGCATTAAAGTTCTCGGTTTTGAGTCATCCTATCTCAGTTGGTTCAAATAAAGTCAAGGGTTGCTAAGACTAAAACCTCTCTGTTGCGGCCGTCACAGACTTTCTCCTTCCCAGAGAGGCGAGAAGAAGCGCTGCACCGCCTCGACAGCAGCCGCTGTGGGGCGGTCCCGCCGAGAGGTTGCCCCGGGGCCACCTTGGTCGCCCCTCGGGCAGGGCACGTAGGGGCCGCTGCCTCCACCCCGCCGCCCGCACTCCACCCCCCTACCTGGATGGGGGTCCTGCCGTAGGAGTTGACGGCGTTGGGGTCGGCCTCGCCGTCCAGCAGCTCCCTGAGGCGCTGCAGGTCTCCGCGGGCGGCGGCGTTGGCCAGTTCGTCGGCCACGGAGCCTCCCGCCCGCCGCGCCATGTCCCGGCCCGCCGCGCCCGGCCCAGCGCTGCCCGGGGCTGGCGGCGATCCCGGCCCGTGGGGAGCGCCTTGCCCATGGGAGCGCTCGGCGCCCCCGGCAGCCTCGGGCAGCGCGCCCGGGCCCCGGCCCGGAGGTTCTTCCACCTGCGAGTCCGCGGCTTGTTTTGTCCTCACGGCTGGTGCCGCCCGGCCGGTGTCAGAGTCAACCTTGACCTCGCCCCGACGGAGCGGAGCGGAGCGACCTGCCCTGCTCTCCGACGGCAGGGAGTGCCGGGCCCTCAGGCGGGAGGCCGGGCTCTCTCTCCACTCTTTTTGTTTTCCCAAGCCCTCTCTTGAGGGCAGCAGTGCCTTAAGCGGTGCCTGACCGCCCCGACTGGAGCAGAGGCCGGAGGAAGGGTAGGAGCAAAACGAGCAAAAGGTTTTACTTAAAGAGAGTTGAGCTCTTCCTCACGCTGGCCCAGGCCCTGCTTCCCCACCTTCTCCGGGCATCCATCGGTACCCGAGGCGCAGAAGGCGGCTGTCGCCGCTCTTCTTTCCCTTCTCCTGCGTGAACTGCGAGCTCTGCTCGGCTTTTTTAGTTAGCAGTAACACTTACTGAGAGATAGTGGGCGCAGTGGCGCCTAAAGCTTGCACTGACACACGAATCGCAGCTGCGACGTCTCCACCCTCCGCCTGAACGGGTTGGATTTTCTCTTTCTTTTCTTTTCTTTTCTTTTCTTTTCTTTTCTTTTCTTTTCTTTTCTTTTCTTTTCTTTTCTTTTCTTTTCTTTTCTTTTCTTTTCTTTTCTTTTCTTTTCTCTTCTCTTCTCTTCTCTTCTCTTCTCTTCTCTTCTCTTCTCTTCTCTTCTTTTCTTTTCTTTTCTTTTCTTTTCTTTTCTTTTCTTTTCTTTTCTTTTCTTTTCTTTTCTTTTCTTTTCTTTTCTTTTCTTTTCTTTTCTTTTCTTTTCTTTTCTTTTCTTTTCTCTTCTCTTCTCTTCTCTTCTCTTCTCTTCTCTTCTCTTCTCTTCTCTTCTCTTCTCTTCTCTTCTCTTCTCTTCTCTTCTCTTCTCTTTTCTCTTTTCTTTTCTTTTCTTTTTCCTCTTTTTCAGTCTTCTATAAACTTCTGATTTCTGTGCTGAGTCATGACTTTTACTACCTCTTATTAACTAATTTTGTTTCAGAGAACAAACTCTTGGTTACACAGTCGATCATAAGAGATAACAATGAAAATATTCCCATGAAAAATTGTTGAGGTAGGAAGAGAACTAAACCCCGAAGAAATGTTCCTTGAGTAGAAAGATCTGTAACAGCCACAGATGGATAAAAGGAATCCTGGCACTGAATTGTAATGTCTTTGTCGTAACTTTACACTGAGGCACAACTAGCATCTTGAAATACTGCAATGCAGCATGTGACTCTCCTTCAAGTTCTTTGTCTTTCATTTTTGTTTATTCCCAGTAAATTGCCCCACACATTTCTTATTGTTCCAGATGAGAATTTTAATCTTTCCCCTCCATTCTAATCAGTAGCTTTGAAATGAACGGGGGGAGGTGGATGATAGCAACTATGATTGGTTGGTTCACAATCTTCACTGCATAACATTTTGTGTCAGACATTACACAGTTAACTCTTGCAATATCACATTCCTTAGCCTTGTCTACTTTTCCATTTTTATAATGCTCTCCAAGCTTCCTCATCAGTAACACAACCAAATACAGAGAAGTGAAATTATAGCTCCAAGGTTTGCTATGAAATGGTAGGAAATTAGTTAACATCATGAACTGCCACTGAAACAAAACTTGCTCCATATCACATAAATCTATGAATAATTTTGATTACTGGAAGCGTAAGAGATATATTGGACCTTTTCAATGATAACTAAAAATAAAATTGCAGAATCCATAATAAAGAGACAAAAATTCTGCAACAAATATTTAAGTTAATCCATAAAACGTACTTGTTGAATCAGTTTGTCAGTGTTAGAAGTTACTGAACAATACTTAATTAAGCAAGGAGGAGATAAACCATACAGTTTTCAGTGAGATATTTACCTGGATGACAGGTTCATAAAATCATAGAATCATAGAATCAACTGAGTTGGAAAAGACCTCTGAGATCATCAAGTCCAACCCTTCATCCACTACCACTGTGGTTACGAGACCAAGGCAGCAAGTGCCAGATCCAGTCTTATCTTAAAAACCTACAGGAACGGAGAATCCACCACTTGACTAATCAAATTGCACCACACCTTTAAGCTAGGTTGTAAATGGTTTCCAAAAACGACACCAAAGAGATTGTCAAATACTGATATGTGGGGTTAGGCATCTTGCATCTCAAAGCAACCTGCATGTAAATTCTCCATGGAAACAAAGAAGCAAGAAAAGTGGAGGAAAGATACTTCTCCTGGTATGGTTAGGGCAAGATAGCAGACCAACCTTTGACCATGAAAATGTTAAGGAACAAAAGCACAGCAATGTCTTTGCAACATCCTTAGTTATAAGCCTAAACAACCACTCATTCAAAATGTCACAGTTATTAAAACAATAGTAAAGCAGTTTAATTGATGTTAATAAGCAGAAAATAAGATTGCTACCATTACGTCTTTTGTTTGCATTTCTATCTATCCCATCGTGTCAAAAGGATTTTATGCAAAGAAGTTAATGGTTGCCTTTCTTTCTAAAACATTGTCTTATTACAATTAATACACAGAGACAACTTTGTAATAACTTCTTAATACTGGTGGGACTCTGTGTAACACAGTTCCATTACTGTCTACTGTATAGTAATAGACAAACACTTGAGAAAAAGGGTGGTCATTTTAAACTGAAAGTTGTTGCTTGAAGAAAAAACAGTGATATTGATTTGGCCATATTTTACTTTAGAGAAAAAATCAAAACAGACCAAACAGTTCTAGAAGTGCTTCCTGGCTGAAAGTCCAATTGTCCAAAGACATGTCCTTGGACATCATCTGGATCATTTGAAGCACAGCCAAAA